AATCAGGTGAAAGCGTCGACATCAGAGCTGGAGGCAGCGGTGGAGGAGCACATCGAGGACATCTGCTCTTTGGTGACTTACTTTGTCGTGATCACGATATCCATTTGTTGTATTCGTTTGCCTGTGATTCACTCGTGGGCTGACCGATGAGGTGACGCTTGTTGTTGAGAGAGAAAATAAAGGAATATGCCGATGCGATTGAAAAGTAAAATATTCTTGTTTACTCCAAAAAAAGGCGGTTTAAAATATAAATAAACGTTTTCTAACAAACTATTTCTCACATAAACTGATACTTCAAATATTAAAGGCAAAACAAGGAACCAAGCTGTCACGCTCCCAACAAGCAATGTCTAAAGACGGTTTAAAAGCACACCTGCATCTAAAGGATGTGAATGTGTGATCCTGCAGGAGGAGGTTGCTGAGGAGAGTCGGCAGAAGATGGAGGCCGAGCGGCAGGCGATGATCGAGGAGAAAGAAGAGCTGGAAAAACATGGAGAAAACGTTGAAAACATGGAATCGAAAGACTCGTCGGTCAGAGAGAGAATCGACCGACTCTGTGAGGAAGTCGAGACGATGAAGGTGAAGCACAGAGAGACAATAACGTAATATATCAGTATGTAGTGTCTCTACTTTAAAGAGTCCTCTCCTGCTGATGTTCAGGTGTATATTAGTATGTAGTGTCTCTACTTTAAAGAGTCCTCTCCTGCTGATGTTCAGGTGTATATCAGTATGTAGTGTCTCTACTTTAAAGAGTCCTCTCCTGCTGATGTTCAGGTGTATATCAGTATGTAGTGTCTCTACTTTAAAGAGTCCTCTCCTGCTGATGTTCAGGTGTATTTATCAGTATGTAGTGTCTCTACTTTAAAGAGTCCTCTCCTGCTGATGTTCAGGTGTATATCAGTATGTAGTGTCTCTACTTTAAAGAGTCCTCTCCTGCTGATGTTCACGGTGTATATCAGTATGTAGTGTCTCTACTTTAAAGAGTCCTCTCCTGCTGATGTTCAGGTGTATATCAGTATGTAGTGTCTCTACTTTAAAGAGTCCTCTCCTGCTGATGTTCAGGTGTATATCAGTATGTAGTGTCTCTACTTTAAAGAGTCCTCTCCTGCTGATGTTCAGGTGTATATCAGTATGTAGTGTCTCTGCTTTAAAGAGTCCTCTCCTGCTGATGTTCAGGTGTATATCAGTATGTAGTGTCTCTGCTTTAAAGAGTCCTCTCCTGCTGATGTTCAGGTGTATATCAGTATGTAGTGTCTCTACTTTAAAGAGTCCCTCTCCTGCTGATATTCAGGTGTATATCAGTATGTAGTTGTCTCTACTTTAAAGAGTCCTCTCCTGCTGATGTTTCAGGTGTATATCAGTATTAGTGTCTCTACTTTAAAGAGTCCCTCCTGCTGATGTTCAGGTGTATATCAGTACGTAGTGTCTCTACTTTAAAGAGTCATCTCCTGCTGATGTTCAGGTGTATATCAGTATGTAGTGTCTCTACCTTTAAAGAGTCCTCTCCTGCTGATGTTCAGGTGTAATCAGTATGTAGTGTCTCTACTTTAAAGAGTCCTCTCCTGCTGATATTCAGGTGTATATCAGTATGTAGTGTCTCTACTTTAAAGAGTCCTCTCCTGCTGATGTTCAGGTGTATATCAGTATACAGTGTCTCTACTTTAAAGAGTCCTCTCCTGCTGATGTTCAGGTGTATATCAGTATGTAGTGTCTCTACTTTAAAGAGTCCTCTCCTGCTGATGTTCAGGTGTATATCAGTATGTAGTGTCTCTACTTTAAAGAGTCCTCTCCTGCTGATTATTCAGGGTGTATATCAGTATGTAGTGTCTCTACTTTAAAGAGTCCTCTCCTGCTGATGTTCAGGTGTATATCAGTAGTAAGTGTCTCTACTTTAAAGAGTCCTCTCCTGCTGATGTTCAGGTGTATATCAGTATGTAGTGTCTCTACTTTAAAGAGTCCTCTCCTGCTGATGTTCAGGTGTATATCAGTATGTAGTGTCTCTACTTTAAAGAGTCCTCTCCTGCTGATGTTCAGGTGTATATCAGTACGTAGTGTCTCTACTTTAAAGAGTCCTCTCCTGCTGATGTTCAGGTGTATATCAGTATGTAGTGTCTCTACTTTAAAGAGTCCTCTCCTGCTGATGTTCAGGGTGTATATCAGTATGTAGTGTCTCTACTTTAAAGAGTCCTCTCCTGCTGATCTTCAGGTGTATATCAGTATTTAGTGTCTCTACTTTAAAGAGTCCTCTCCTGCTGATGTTCAGGTGTATATCAGTGTGTAGTGTCTCTACTTTAAAGAGTCCTCTCCTGCTGATGTTCAGGTGTATATCAGTATTGTGGTGTCTCTACTTTAAAGAGTCCTCTTCTGCTGATGTCAGTGTATATCAGTATGTAGTGTCTCTACTTTAAAGAGTCCTCTCCTGCTGATGTTCAGGTGTATATCAGTATGTAGTGTCTCTACTTTAAAGAGTCCTCTCCTGCTGATGTTCAGGTGTATATCAGTATGTAGTGTCTCTACTTTAAAGAGTCCTCTCCTGCTGATGTTCAGGTGTATATCAGTATGTAGTGTCTCTACTTTAAAGAGTCCTCTCCTGCTGATGTTCAGGTGTATATCAGTATGTAGTGTCTCTATTTTAAAGAGTCCTCTCCTGCTGATGTTCAGGTGTATATCAGTATGTAGTGTCTCTACTTTAAAGAGTCCTCTCCTGCTGATGTTCAGGTGTATATCAGTATTTAGTGTCTCTACTTTAAAGAGTCCTCTCCTGCTGATGTTCAGGTGTATATCAGTATGTAGTGTCTCTACTTTAAAGAGTCCTCTCCTGCTGATATTCAGATGTATATCAGTATGTAGTGTCTCTACTTTAAAGAGTCCTCTCCTGCTGATGTTCAGGTGTATATCAGTATTTAGTGTCTCTACTTTAAAGAGTCCTCTCCTGCTGATGTTCAGGTGTATATCAGTATGTAGTGTCTCTACTTTAAAGAGTCCTCTCCTGCTGATGTTCAGGTGTATATCAGTATGTAGTGTCTCTACTTTAAAGAGTCCTCTCCTGCTGATGTTCAGGTGTATATCAGTATTTAGTGTCTCTACTTTAAAGAGTCCTCTCCTGCTGATGTTCAGGTGTATATCAGTATTTAGTGTCTCTACTTTAAAGAGTCCTCTCCTGCTGATGTTCAGGTTTTATATTTAGTGGCTCGTTTAAAGGCTTGATGAATGACTGAATGGTTTGGAAAACACCTGTATCTGGAGGATGTGATTTATGTTGTTGTTGTTGTTGTTGTTGTTGTTGTTGTTGTTGTTGTCCTCAGGAGGAGCAGCTGAAGCTGGAGGCTGAGTGCAGCAAACATGAACAAAGCCTCCAGGTTTTAGAGAAGAAACTGAAGAGTCATGTAGAAACTATCGCAGAGATGAAGAGGGACCTCGCTCAGACAGAGGAAGAGTTAAAGGTAACAGCAGGTTGTATGAACACACTGCATTACAGGGTTCTCCAGCTGCAGTCAAAACATGTCTCCATCTCAATCTCAGTCTTTATTTATTTGTATAGCACATTTAAAACGACCTCAGTGACCAAAGTGCTGCACAGGGAACAAATACAATATTAAATAATAACACAAAACAATAATTAAGATAAAAAACACAATTACTAGAAATGTCAAAATGTTATGTTCAACTAGTATTAAAGTTATTATTCATGCACCAGTTCATGTTTTGATTCCATAACTTGATTCAACGTGTGTGTGTCCTAGCATTACTATACTTGTGGGGACCTAAACCTGTTTACACAGTCACGTGTGGGGACTCACCTCCCTTATGGGGACAAATTGGAGGTCCCCATGAGGGGATCACTAATAGGGTTAGGGTTAGGGTTAGGCATGTGTTGGTTATGGTTAAGGTTAGGATAAGTCTCCAGGAAATGCATGTAAGTCAATGTAATGTCCCCTGAAGTGATGTGTGTGTGTGTGTGTGCTTGTGTGTGCTTGTGTGTGTGTGTGTGTGTGTGTGTGATGTGTGTGTGTGTGTGTGTGTGTGTGTGTGTGTGTGTGTGTGTGTGTGTGTGTGTGTGTGGTGTGTGTGTGTGTGTGTGGTGTGTGTGTGTGTGTGTGTGTGTGTGTGTGTGTGTGTGTGTGTGTGTGGTGTGTGTGTGTGTGTGTGTGTGTGTGTGTGTGTGTGTGTGTGTGTGTGTGTGTGTGTGTGTGTGTGTGTGTGTGTGTGTGTGTGTGTGTGTGTGTGTGTGTGTGTGTGTGTGTGTGTGTGTGTGTGTGTGATCTCCCCCCTGCAGGAGTGTGTGAGTAAAGCGTCAGAGATCAGTCCTCAGCGACAGGTCGTGTCCGCCAGCTCGAGGAGTTTGGACACAGAAATAACTCGACTGCAGAGGAAGATCAAAGTTTACGAGAGCATTCACGGAGAGCAGCAGCAGGTGGTGAGGTGAGGAACAAAATAAAGACGCACCTTTTTGTTTGACTTTCTCTGAATTTTGACATTTTTGGAGAATTGAATATTTTCCTTAGAAATGACTTTTTTTTCTCACAATTTTGACTTTTTTCTTCAAAATTTTTAGATTTATCAGAAAGTTTTGTTTTTATAAAATGTTGACTTTTTTTCATATTTTATTATTTTTCTTAGAATCTTTACTTTTTTCAGAGTTTCATTTTTTTGGTGAGGAATTATTTCACTATTAGTCAAAACAAAATAAAGAGATATTGCATCTTTTGGTTATCTGGTGCAAACACACGTAAGGTAACATATCAGCTCAAAATGTGATGCTTTTTCCCGGCTTAAACTAACAGAATGCTAGTGTTCCCTGAATCCCTCCCTAAATCATGTTGTTGGACACCATGAGAACTTAAATCAGAAATATTATTATTATATGTATTAATTAATAATATATATTATTGATCAGATACAAATGTTCCTCTTCCTCAGGGAGTACGCTGAGGCGGTGTCTCTGTTCAGACAGAAGAGCAAACAGGTGAGAGACCTGCGGAGATTCATCGACCGCCTCGAACACATCATATCGGACAGACAGAGCAGATACAAGGTCCTGAGGAGGTACATATATTTAACATTAATACTATTATACCTTGTGCACAGATACTATGAATACAGAATTGATTTTTTTCTTAAAAATGGTTGTTTTCTTAGAATTGTATTATTTTCAGAATTTTGACTTTTCACCTAATTTTGACTTTTTTCTCAGAATCTCTCAGAATTTAGATTTTATTAGTTTACTTTTTTTTCTTTTGACTTTCTATTGAGAATGTTTAAAACTTGACTTTTAAAGGACCCTTAAACTAGGTTTCCCTAGGCCTGGGCGTAACAAGGACCCTTAAACTAGGTTTCCCTAGGCCTGGGCATAATAAGGACCCTTAAATTAGGTTTCCCTAGGCCTGGGCGTAACAAGGACCCTTAAACTAGGTTTCCCTAGGCCTGGGCGTAACAAGGACCCTTAAACTAGGTTTCCCTAGGCCTGGGCATAATAAGGACCCTTAAATTAGGTTTCCCTAGGCCTGGGCGTAACAAGGACCCTTAAACTAGGTTTCCCTAGGCCTGGGCGTAACAAGGACCCTTAAACTAGGTTTCCCTAGGCCTGGGCGTAACAAGGACCCTTAAACTAGGTTTCCCTAGGCCTGGGCGTAACAAGGACCCTTAAATAGCAGAATCCTGCAGATAGACTTCACAGAATGCTCTGTTCTTCCTTCAGGTCTCTATCGGTCAGGTGTAAATTATATTTTAATAACTTCATGATAAAGATGAACTGCTGCGGCTCCATGATCTTCGACCACAACAACGAGACGCTCTCCATCTCCGTACGTAAAGTTACTCCTTTCTTATTTCTGCATTTAAAAAATTGAAGTATAGTCAATAAGAAGTAAACAAACAATATTGTTTAAAGTAAGATGGACTATCCTGGTTTATTTCTCACCTGTAATTACTCACCTGTAATTGTCTCACCTGTGTTGTCTCGCCTGTAGTTGTCTCGCCTGTGTTGTCTCGCCTGTAGTTGTCTCGCCTGTAGTTGTCTCGCCTGTAGTTGTCTCACCTGTGTTGTCTCACCTGTGTTGTCTCACCTGTAGTTGTCTCACCTGCAGTTGTCTCACCTGCAGTTGTCTCACCTGTGTTGTCTCACCTGTAGTTGTCTCGCCTGTAGTTGTCTCACCTGTGTTGTCTCACCTGTGTTGTCTCACCTGTAGTTGTCTCACCTGTAGTAGTCTCACCTGCAGTTGTCTCACCTGTTGTCTCACCTGTGTTGTCTCACCTGTAGTAGTCTCACCTGTAGTTGTCTCGCCTGTAGTTGTCTCGCCTGTGTTGTCTCACCTGTAGTTGTCTCCTGTGTTGTCTCACCTGTAGTTGTCTCGCCTGTGTTGTCTCACCTGTAGTTGTCTCACCTGTAGTTGTCTCACCTGTGTTGTCTCACCTGGCTTGTCTCACCTGTGTAGTTGTCTCACCTGTGTTGTCTCACCTGTGTTGTCTCACCTGTAGTTGTCTCACCTGTAGTTGTCTTACCTGTGTTGTCTCACCTGTAGTTGTCTCACCTGTAGTTGTCTCACCTGTAGTTGTCTCACCCGTAGTTGTCTCACCTGTAGTTGTCTCACCTGTGTTGTCTCACCTGTAGTTGTCTTACCTGTGTTGTCTCACCTGTAGTTGTCTCACCTGTAGTTGTCTTACCTGTGTTGTCTCACCTGTAGTTGTCTCACCTGTAGTTGTCTCACCTGTAGTTGTCTCACCCGTAGTTGTCTCACCCGTAGTTGTCTCACCTGTAGTTGTCTCACATGTGTTGTCTCACCTGTGTTGTCTCGCCTGGCTTGTCTCACCTGTGTTGTCTCACCTGTAGTTGTCTCACCTGTAGTTGTCTCACCTGTAGTTGTCTCACCTGTGTTGTGTTATGGAAATCTAAAAACCCCAATACTGTAGAGTACAAGTCAGAAAACAAATAAATGGTGAAACAGACAGAGTTGTCTTTCCGGTGATGTTTATTCGAACAAACATCAGATACAATAAAATATAGACACAGGTCTCACAGAGTATAGGATAGTCTGCGCGAGTGTGCGCAGTTCAATATTATAGCAAAGCTTATATAGTAGAAATGATGAGAAGGTAAGAAATCTGTCTTCACACGGTCACATTGTTATTAGACACCTGGCCTTGAGCTGTAGAAGTTCTCGTGTGACTTTGTGTGAGTCTCAACCTAGTAGCCAAAACAGCTCTGTGGCCTTGAAGTAGGACAGATAGAGCAAACAGCACATCTAACCAAATGAGAAGCATTTGGTTTTAACATATCAGGATATTAGGAAATGTCCACTACATTCTCCCCTTTTGATCATACTTGATCAATAAAAACAAATGACAGGATAGACTGATATAACACATCAATGAATACACTCCATCACTGGTTTAAGTAAACACATCCCAAATATATCATAGAAAACTGGCTGTTTGTGTGGAGGACAGACTCCAATATAATGTAAGCATAAGAGGAGAGTACACTTGATACACATGATTATATTGATTATATTGTAGTGTCGGAATCAGACTCTTCTGATTCTAGCTGGTCTATCTCACTGTGGCGCAAAGGATTGTCTTGTAATGGGATAGCAGTATACTGAACGAAAGCTAAAGATACCAGGCTGGAAAAGCCTTTCTTCAGTATTGGGATAATCAAACAGGTACAACTGATTAATAGGCCGAAAATGATTATCAGGGATGTAACTATCCTAGCCAGCCATGCTTGCCACCCCCCCGATGTAAGCCAGGCCCACCAGTCCCAGCCGCCTGCGTTGGATATGTCATCCACTTTCATGTCGGCTAACAAGTTGTTAAGATGCAGCACGGTGTCAGTGATGTTCTTGGTGGCGTCGGGAATGTAAGTGCAACAGGAGTCACCGATCACATGACACAGGCCACCCTTTGAGGCGAACAAAAGGTCAAGAGCAAATTGGTGCTGCATGAGCATATTCCTAGAGGCTATTATGAATGGGGGCAATGCCTGGAAGCCTTGCGTCGTCTCGTAAGTGAGGTTCTCTAGTCGAACGTGTAAGGTATCTATCTTATGGGCATTGTTTACTGTACCCCACCATGGAAACAAGCCACCAAAGAATTTAACTCCAGTGGACGTCAGCTCTCTTTTTACCTTGTGGTGGTCCGGGTGTTGGAACTCTGGGTAATGATTTGTCGTGTACATTAAGGACGTGAGGACCGTGACTGCTGGATTCAAATCCACTAGAGTGCATGTACCTATCCAGAGGGGAGCCAGCATCTGATAGAGCTTGTCGCCGCACAACCAAACGTAATCTTGTGGCGCGCTAAACCCAGCATCACTGGGCCAGGCCAGTTGGAGGGAAGTATGGTTAACATCAGGGAATGCTACGTTAGAAAGGATTCTTTCAGGGACACTGAATATGCAATACGAGCTATTGTAAACACCGTAACTGCACGTATTCTGTAGGATACGAGTACAACCAGTAGTAGTACCTAGGGAAAAATAAGGTGGTGTAAGAGACGTTTTATGGTATACTCTCTGGATACAAATGCTGTGTTTCATCCCTCTCAAATGGCTGGGTGCACATGGCTGACCGGTTGGTACTTTGCGTATGTGGTATCAACCGTATATGCACGCAAAAGGGAGTTAGACTTATTACTGCATGGTGGAGGAAGCTGCCTGGCATAACGCCACTCGGTTACGCGGTCTTCCCCCTCGATGGGCCTTGTCAGAGCCATAAACGCACAGAGGTGTTCAACCTGGGTCAGAGAGCGCGGACGAACTGGCACTGACATTGATGAGTCCTGGAGAAAAAGGGTGCATGCATAACATGAACCATTTTGTCCTGCGGCCTGCAAGAATGATCTCAGAGTGTGCCACCAAACGTTACCGGTGTTTCCATTACTGGTCTGAACCACATCAATGTTGTTATGGTCGTTATTGCCTATGTATAGGTTACGTTTTAGAAGTGTAGATGTACCTATGGATGTCAATGTTTGTGTCAAAGGCGGTTTATCCTTTTTGGGGGTCTGAGTTTTGGGCGCGATGTCTATGTAAAATGTGCCACACGGGTCGGTGCCGGATACATACATACATACAACATAATAACCCCCGTCTGATATCTGGGCAGCCTGTAGTTGCAACAGGACAACGGGGCTCGATGAATTGACTTTGGAGATAGACAATCTCCCTTTGATGTTTGTTTTGTCGTCCCATAGGGTATAACCCCAATCGGTGTATGCGGTGGTCCATAAAACAAAAGCCCAGCCCCCTGAGCAGTGATTGGCGGTTTGACCAAAACTGCCTTCGACATAGCATATGTAGGCGTCCGCCCACCCCAGTTTCTTAGGGTCGGAGCAATGCATGTAGTCGCACGGGTCTAACTGCACTGTGCTATCTTCCCCATCCCTTAGAGTAATGTTACCAATCCCTGTCTTGATCAGCCCCTCTTCCCATGTGGTTCGCCCTGCTTTCCCCATGTACCTCTTAGATACCTCGATTTTTGCACTACAGTTGTCTCACCTGTAGTTGTCTCACCTGTGTTGTCTCACCTGTGTTGTCTCACCTGTAGTTGTCTCGCCTGGCTTGTCTCACCTGTGTTGTCTCACCTGTAGTTGTCTCACCTGTAGTTGTCTCACCTGTAGTTGTCTCACCTGTAGTTGTCTCACCTGTGTTGTCTCACCTGTGTTGTCTCACCTGTAGTTGTCTCACCTGTAGTTGTCTCACCTGTGTTGTCTCACCTGTAGTTGTCTCGCCTGGCTTGTCTCACCTGTGTTGTCTCACCTGTAGTTGTCTCACCTGTGTTGTCTCACCTGTAGTTGTCTCACCTGTAGTTGTCTCACCTGGCTTGTCTCACCTGTAGTTGTCTCACCTGTAGTTGTCTCACCTGTAGTTGTCTCACCTGTAGTTGTCTCACCTGTAGTTGTCTCACCTGTAGTTGTCTCACCTGTAGTTGTCTCACCTGTGTTGTCTCACCTGTAGTTGTCTCGCCTGGCTTGTCTCACCTGTGTTGTCTCACCTGTAGTTGTCTCACCCGTAGTTGTCTCACCTGTAGTTGTCTCACCTGTGTTGTCTCACCTGTGTTGTCTCACCTGTAGTTGTCTCACCTGTAGTTGTCTCACCTGTAGTTGTCTCACCTGTGTTGTCTCACCTGTAGTTGTCTCGCCTGGCTTGTCTCACCTGTGTTGTCTCACCTGTAGTTGTCTCACCCGTAGTTGTCTCACCTGTGTTGTCTCACCTGTGTTGTCTCACCTGTAGTTGTCTCACCTGTAGTTGTCTCACCTGTGTTGTCTCACCTGTAGTTGTCTCGCCTGGCTTGTCTCACCTGTGTTGTCTCACCTGTAGTTGTCTCACCTGTGTTGTCTCACCTGTAGTTGTCTCACCTGGCTTGTCTCACCTGTAGTTGTCTCACCTGTAGTTGTCTCGCCTGTGTTGTCTCACCTGTAGTTGTCACACCTGTAGTTGTCTCACCTGTAGTTGTCTCACCTGTGGTGGTCTCACCTGTGTGTCTCAACCTGTAGTTGTCTCACCTGTGTTGTCTCACCTGTAGTTGTCTCACCTGTAGTTGTCTCACCTGTAGTTGTCTCACCTGTAGTTGTCTCACCTGTAGTTGTCTCACCTGTAGTTGTCTCACCTGTAGTTGTCTCACCTGTGTTGTCTCACCTGTAGTTGTCTCACCTGTAGTTGTCTCACCTGTAGTTGTCTCACCTGTAGTTGTCTCACCTGTAGTTGTCTCACCTGTGTTGTCTCACCTGTAGTTGTCCCGTCCGTGTCTCACCTGTAGTTGTCTCACCTGTAGTTGTCTCACTGTATGTTCTCACCTGTAGTTGTCTCACCTGTAGTTGTCTCACCTGTGTTGTCTCACCTGTAGTTGTCTCACCTGTAGTTGTCTCACCTGTAGTTGTCTCACCTGTAGTTGTCTCACCTGTAGTTGTCTCACCTGTGTTGTCTCACCTGTAGTTGTCTCACCTGTAGTTGTCTCACCTGTAGTTGTCTCACCTGTAGTTGTCTCACCTGTGTTGTCTCACCTGTAGTTGTCTCACCTGTAGTTGTCTCACCTGTAGTTGTCTCACCTGTAGTTGTCTCACCTGTGTTGTCTCACCTGTAGTTGTCTCACCTGTGTTGTTTCACCTGTGTTGTCTCACCTGTAGTTGTCTCACCTGTGTTGTCTCACCTGTAGTTGTCTCACCTGTGTTGTTTCACCTGTGTTGTCTCACCTGTAGTTGTCTTACCTGTAGTTGCCTCACCTGTAGTTGTCTCACCTGTAGTTGTCTCACCTGTGATGTCTCACCTGTAGTTGTCTCACCTGTAGTTGTCTCACCTGTGTTGTCTCACCTGTAGTTGTCTCACCTGTGTTGTCTCACCTGTAGTTGTCTCACCTGTAGTTGTCTCACCTGTAGTTGTCTCACCTGTAGTTGTCTCACCTGTGTTGTCTCACCTGTAGTTGTCTCACCTGTGTTGTCTCACCTGGCTTGTCTCACCTGTAGTTGTCTCACCTGTATTTGTCTCACCTGTGCAGGTGATGCCCCCGGGCCGGGAGGATGAGGGGGTGTTGAGTGACATGCGCTCTCTGAGTGGAGGCGAGCGCTCGTTCTCCACCGTCTGCTTCATGCTCTCTCTGTGGGAGATCACAGAGTCTCCCTTCAGGTGCCTCGACGAGTTTGACGTCTACATGGTACACACACACACTCACTCACTCTCACACACACACACACACACATTCTCTCACTCACTCACTCACTCACTCACTCACTCACACACACACACACACATACACACACACACACACACACACACACACACACACACCTCATGCAGATACATTCTCTCAAACTGAGGAATAAATGGCAGGAAAATCCAAAACACACTCCTGTGATTTTCTTATTTATTTCGGGCTTTTTTTGTGGAAGGAGTGAAGGAAGGAGTGAAGGAAGGAAGGAGTGAAGGAATCTGGTTGAATATCTAAATGTGCCGTTCTTGGACTCTGTGTCGATGTTTTATGATCTTCATGAATGAGTTCAGCACAAAGCGACTGGAAGATGCATTTGTTTACGACGCAGAAAGAAATGACTTTGTTCCAGAAAGAATTGGAAATGTGTCATTTATTTCAAATTTAAAGGTTTTCTTTGTGAAAGTATTAATGTCAAAAACAAAAGAGAAAAAAAGGTATTTTGATTTAATCACAAAAGTTCCATTATGTTTCCCAAATTTAAAAAAATGCCATGATAATAAATGAATAAAATGTATTAATAAATACATAAACTAATAAATAATACAATTAAAGCATCAGTTATTAACTCTGCTCTAACGATCGTAAACTTCTCTCTACATCAAAAATAAGAATCATTTTGTAAATCATCAAAATAATGAAGAACCGAGGTGAGGCTGATTGAACTGATGCCCCTTTCACACCAACGCGGTTCCCGTTCTCGCTCCTCTTGCGCTCTTCTGGTTCGGAACCGGTTTTTATTTTCAGCCCCCGTTTTGTTCACACCACCCAGAGCCCGAGTGGTGCTGCGTCATCATGATGCAGCCGTTTAGGTGCCTGCGCCATAAAGCCAAACCGCGCGGAAACCCCTCACATCGACAACAACAACAACAATGGCCGATTGTATTGATGCTCGTTTTGCTTTGTCGAAACCAAATGGGAATAATAGGACGATTTCACCACAAACTTTCCATTCGTCACAAGCGACTTTCAAATGTTCTCTGACAGAGTCTAGCAAGTCATAATATGGACTTGTTTTCGGACGACCGCTGCCACTCCGTCCGAGGTCTCGCTTTCGGTTCCGATAATCCTTCTTAACTTTTTGCAGTTTCTTGCAAACCTGGTCCACGAGTTTGGGGTTTTCCATCGCTGTGTACAAACTGGACAAAACGTGGGCTTTTTGTTGTTGTTGTTCAGGAGGGTGATCCCGCCTCCGACGTAAGCGTGACGTATGCGGTCAGGGGCGCCACCAGGGATTTTAGGCCCCATGAAAAGATATCACATTGGTTACTTAAACATTTTGTTCTTAATGTTCTAAAATAGTTGGGGCCCCTGTCAGTCACGGGCCCTTAGAATCGTCCTAACTTTTCACCCCCTTACGGCGCCCCTGTATGCGGTTCTTGCTTCTAGACGGACAATTCGAGCTTGGTAAGAACCGCTGCGGTGTGAACAGGAAAAACCGGTGCTTATCAGACTCTAGCTCCGAACCGGCCCTGGAACCGCGTTGGTGTGAAAGGGGCGTGTGCGTTTCACTTCCTTTGATTATTCTTATTTGTATTGAAGGCAGAACTAAATAAGTTTCATTTGTACTATCTTTGATACATTTTCTTTATTTTTGCAGGATATGCACAACCGGCGGATCTCTCTGGATCTCCTGCTGGAGCTTTCTGAGCGTCAGACCCTTCGTCAGTTCATCTTCGTCACTCCTCTCACCACCAGGTGGCGCTCCTCTTCACACACTGACCTTTCTATCATATATACAGTTTTAATTGTACATCTTAGTTTCCTGTACTGAGGCTAAAGCATGCCATCAAAACTATTATATAGGTTTTAGTTTTTAACTATATAATACATATTCAATTATTGCATATAGTAATAAATATTAGGAATGGATCATTATTTTAAATTAATCTTAAATATAATGATATGAATTCAGCATTACAATTTAAAAGTAATTTTAATAAAAAATGTATTTGTGATAATTGTGCATTTTTATATGAAATTATAAAAATGTAATTTTTTTTTATTCTATAATTTCTTAATTGTCAAAGTATCTTTCTATCATTATAAACACTACATTATTTATTAATTGTTATTTAAATTATATATATATATTGTATGACTACTTTACAATAGATTGTATTGCATCATTAAATACACATTTAAAAAATATGTACATGTTATTGTTTAATTGCATGGTTTTCTACATGTGTTGGAAATCCTTGAAACACTTGAATTTAATTCTGTGTTTTCCAGGTTAGCATGAAAGTGCTTATAATGTGGTTTTTATAATGACAGGTTTCACCCTTCTGCAGAATGCTGTTACACATCTGTGTTGCTTGGAGCACAATAATATAATAAAGAAGTGAAAAGGCAACTTGGGGTGCTAAAGGGTGCTAAAGGGTGCTAAAGGGTGCTAAAGGGTGCTAAAGGATGCTAAAGGGTGCTAAAGGGTGCTAAAGGGTGCTAAAGGATGCTAAAGGGTGCTAAAGGGTGCTAAAGGATGCTAAAGGATGCTAAAGGGTGCTAAATGATGCTAAAGGGTGCTAAAGGGTGCTAAAGGGTGCTAAAGGGTGCTAAAGGATGCTAAAGGGTGCTAAAGGGTGCTAAAGGATGCTAAAGGGTGCTTTTCTCATACCTCTTGAGGGGGCAGGGATCCTGTGCGTCAGCTTGGTTCTTTGACATATTTTCACTTTGTTTTTATGTCACCTGTGTTTTGTGTCTTTCAGCAATCTTCCAAAATCCAGACTGATAAAGATCCACAAGCTGCAGGATCCAGAGAGAATCTGCAGCGAAGCTCAGGAGGAAGAAGAGGACGCTTAAAAGTAATGAAGAGAGACGTTGGTACGACGTGAAGCTCAGTATTATCATTCAGTATTCTCATGTTTGCTTGCTGGGATTCATTTATGGATGTGTTTGAAAACCTAATGACGGTTTAATGTTTCAGGACTCGCAGGTATGTTAACTCTTATTGTTGTGTTCATGTGTTGCTGCCTTTAGCCACACCATTGTTCTTTATATTGATCTGTTATCAACATTTTGTGCATCTCGATAACGTATTCATAGTTACAAGAGGAAGCGAGGCGGATTTTATTCATCTCATTCACACTGTCTGCAAATAAATTACATTCCTGTAGGCCTACAACTAAACCAATTTTCAATTACTTTTCTAAAAGGGAAACCGATGTTCTCCCATGTTTTGGTGTTACTAGGTATTATGAATACTGAGGGGACATTTTGGGATTTATTTGTTGTTTGATGTTCATTGATAGCCATTGAAAATGAGCCGATTAGCTTACACTGGCACATACACCGTGATGATCCTTGTGCATTGAGCCTAAAAAATATAATTGCAATATTTATTTCAGCATTGACATAAAAACTGAAAAGATGTGGAGTTATAGCATCAATTACATGTTAGAAGTTATACGAGTTATACGCATCATAAGCTTTTACAGGGTTGCCAACTTTGGGTACCTGGCTGGAGTGAGATTTTGATATCATGGGTTTAATTACATACATGCGCACTAGCATATATATAGGATATATATACAATATATACAAATACACAAAATTGGACTGTGAAGCCGACAATTGAGCGGCCCGACCAAGCAAGGAGGCAGAGGCAGAACGTCCAAAAATATAACCCGGTGTGGGCATTTATTAAATCATGAACATATGACACAGCCTCAATCTGCTGCTCACGTGAACACAGCCACCACAAGGATCTCACACACACTACCAGCCTCCAAACAGACAGGGCAACAGAGCCTAAATACCCACACACTAATCAGCAATTAGACACAGGTGGGGGGGAGGAGACAACACAGGGCACCAGGTGAACACAATCAACCACAATGAAGCTACACAACCCGTAACGGAGGCCGAGATCTATGGGCCCAGAGATCACCTCCGTGACATGGACACAGAATATAAAGGGCACAAAGTTTCATTCACTATGTTTGGCTCTATGAAACCTGATGTACTATGATTCTGTTTTCTTCAAGGTTGTGTCTTCCTGGTCGAATGCACTTATTGTAAGTCGCTTTGGATAAAAGCGTCAGCTAAATGTAATGTAATGTAAATGACTGCTATCATGTCAGCAGCGGGACCTTAGCATATACAGTATATAGGATATACAATATATACAAATACACAATATTGGACACAGACTATAAAGGGCACAAAGTTTAATTCACTAATGAAAGTCAAACACATGTTTGTTTCCACTGTTTTATTGTGTGCCTGTCGCGATAAGCAATTAATTGACTTATCGTACGATAAATAAAAATGAACTCGATAAATTGTCATTTACACAGGCCTTATTTCTAAAAAAGAATCCCAGTTTTAATTTCCTTAAGAGATTGTCAATATTTGAAGCAGAGATGTTCATCTATAGTGATGCCTAAGTATCTGGAGGTGTTAACAGCTTCAATGGGGTTATGCTGTGCAGACATGATGCAGGGAAGAACAGTTGGTCACGTTTCCTTATTGGAAAACAACATGACTTTTGTCTTGTCTGAATTTAACACCAACCTGAGGTGGAACAGATGTGACTGAAAAGTGTCAAAAGCAGACTGCAGACGCTCAAATGCAAGGGCAACAGTGCTAGCACAACAGTATCATCTGCATATAGATGTACAGAGGCATCAATACTTTGACCCACATCATTTATATAAATAGTAAAAAGGGTGGGTCCCAAGACCGAACCTTGAGGAACGCCTCTGGGCACATTACGAAAGCTTGAGGAGAGACCGCTGAATTTTACACATTGCTTGTGATTTGAAAGATAGTTTGCAAACCCGCCAACGGCTTGGTCAGACAGGCGAAATAGCTTCATGGTCCATGTATCAAATGCCTGGGATAAGTCTATAAAAAGGGCAGCACAGTAGCTCTTTGCGTCCAAGCCTTCAACAATGTCATTTGGGTTGGATCTGAAGATTACCTTTTGGTGTGTTCCTGCCATTTTGTATTGTAATGCTCTGCTCCATTCCACTAGGGGTCTTTTTGATTGTTACTGTTCCCCTTACTTTCTTTATTGCTTCTGCGTATGGAACTTTTGTTTGTCTCTCTCTGCACCTCTCTGGCCTCTCTCTGCACTCTCTGGCCTCTCTCTGCACCTCTCTGGCCTCTCTCTGCACTCTCTGGCCTCTCTCTGCACCTCTCTGGCCTCTCTCTGCAGCTCTCTGGCCTCTCTCTGCACCTCTCTGGCCTCTCTCTGCACTCTCTGCACCTCTCTGGCCTCTCTCTGCACCTCTCTGGCCTCTCTCTGCACTCTCTGCACTCTCTGGCCTCTCTCTGCACCTCTCTGGCCTCTCTCTGCAGCTCTCTGGCCTCTCTCTGCACCTCTCTGGCCTCTCTCTGCACTTTCTGGCCTCTCTCTGCACCTCTCTGGCCTCTCTCTGCACCTCTCTGGCCTCTCTCTGCACTCTCTGGCCTCTCTCTGCACCTCTCTGGCCTCTCTCTGCAGCTCTCTGGCCTCTCTCTGCACCTCTCTGGCCTCTCTCTGCACTCTCTGGCCTCTCTCTGCACCTCTCTGGCCTCTCTCTGCACCTCTCTGGCCTCTCTCTGCACTTTCTGGCCTCTCTCTGCACCTCTCTGGCCTCTCTCTGCACCTCTCTGGCCTCTCTCTGCACTCTCTGGCCTCTCTCTGCACCTCTCTGGCCTCTCTCTGCACTCTCTGGCCTCTCTCTGCACCTCTCTGGCCTCTCTCTGCACCTCTCTGGCCTCTCTCTGGCCTCTCTCTGCACCTCTCTGGCCTCTCTCTGCACCTCTCTGGCCTCTCTCTGCACCTCTCTGGCCTCTCTCTGCACCTCTCTGGCCTCTCTGCACTTCACATCCTCCAAACGCAGCACTGTGATCTCCTCTGCAGTTACAACATTTAACCTTTGCATCCTTTTCACATTTCCCATCCTCATGTTGTCCTCCGCATCTCGCACACCTTAGCCGTCCTTTACACTGCTGCGCTGTGTGCCCCATGCGTTGACATGCGTAGCACCTGAGAGGCTTGGGAATGTACTCCCTAAGCATTAAGTTCAGATATCCCATGTGTACTGCCTTAGGTAAGGTTTTCTCAAACTGAATGAGAACTGATGTTCCTTTGAGTGTGCCATCCCGTCTGCTTTTAAGCCTTGAGACTTCCACTACTTTGCCTCCTTTTAATTCACTTTGAACATCTTCCATTGACATGTCCAATGACTCCTGAGATGACTCCTCTCAGTTTAGCCATTGCTCCCGGGATATGCGTCTTCCTTTTCTCCCCATTCAGTGAGTTCATTCCCAGAATCTCTTCCTGCTGCTGTTTGTTATTGGCATGTCTCAAAACCCGCTTGTTGTTCATGAATTTAGCAAATTTCATTTTTCCAATCTCTTCTTCAATTGCTTTGGTAAGTTTAATCGGGTGGTAATGCCCACCATCCTGATTGAATTCTATTACAACTCTCCACTCGTGTTCTAGTTGTTGGTTGACTTTTGATGTTTAGCTTTGATTAGCCTTGTCTGCTTCACCCGACCAACTTCGCGCTCTTACTGAGCTATCTCTTTCTCTCAAAGCCCTTTTCGTCCTCGCAGCTTTGGATATCATCCATTCCATATCGTTTCTTTGGCTACCATCGGAGCTGGTTGACATGATGAGACAGTCAATGTACACTTTATGCAAATCTGCCAAAATAACAGTCTAATGCTACCGTTTCTGTATGTTTCCGAGTTTTCAGATTCTCTCTGAGCTTTCTGCAACGCGTCTCCCACTTCACTTCCTTCTTCCAGTCCGACCAGCCGACGACTCCACTCACCTGTTGGTAGATGTTTCCTCTTTAACATTCCTCCATCCAGCAGGAGCAGGTCCTCCTCACAGAGGAACAGCTAGTCCTGTTCCTGCAGGTTTCAGAGTCTCACCCAGCAGGAGCAGGTCCTCCTCACAGAGGAACAGCTAGTCCTGTTCCTGCAGGTTTCAGAGTCTCATCCAGCAGGAGCAGGTCCTCCTCACAGAGGAACAGCTAGTCCTGTTCCTGCAGGTTTCAGAGTGTCACCCAGCAGGAGCAGGTCCTCCTCACAGAGGAACAGCTAGTCCTGTTCCTGCAGGTTTCAGAGTCTCACCCAGCAGGAGCAGGTCCTCCTCACAGAGGAACAGCTAGTCCTGTTCCTGCAGGTTTCAGAGTCTCACCCAGCAGGAGCAGGTCCTCCTCACAGAGGAACAGCTAGTCCTGTTCCTGCAGGTTTCAGAGTCTCACCCAGCAGGAGCAGGTCCTCCTCACAGAGGAACAGCTAGTCCTGTTCCTGCAGGTTTCAGAGTCTCACCCAGCAGGAGCAGGTCCTCCTCACAGAGGAACAGCTAGTCCTGTTCCTGCAGGTTTCAGAGTCTCACCCAGCAGGAGCAGGTCCTCCTCACAGAGGAACAGCTAGTCCTGTTCCTGCAGGTTTCAGAGTCTCACCCAGCAGGAGCAGGTCCTCCTCACAGAGGAACAGCTAGTCCTGTTCCTGCAGGTTTCAGAGTGTCACCCAGCAGGAGCAGGTCCTCCTCACAGAGGAACAGCTAGTCCTGTTCCTGCAGGTTTCAGAGTCTCACCCAGCAGGTAACTTTACAGTAAACTCTGACTTCTCTCCAAAAACATTAGTTTTACTGTCAGAGCTGATCATGGAAGTGAAATATGATTTGTACCAGATAGCCTGAACCTAAAACATACAGAAACTCAACTGTAAAATGAAGTCATGATTGTAAGGTTCATTTAGGCCTATACCATTAAACACCTCCCGGTAACAGTCAAGTCAACAATGAAAATAAATTGTTGTTTTTAATCACTTTTTTAAAATTATATCTTTATCTACTTCTTTGTTTGTTTTGGACACATATATGTATGTCTATTCTATGCTTTAAAGGACTCTGTCTTGTGTGTTCATTGTCACTGTTGGAGCTATATATCTCTTTATATTATTTAATAGTTTAACATTTATTCTCTTGCTGTTTATAGTGTTCATTGTAAATGTATTCTTAGTTAGTCTCATAAGTTAAAGTCGTTTCTATGCTTTTATTTTGAAGGCATGTTTGGGCACTGGGTGATTAGAGCACCTGGTGTAATTGTATATATTGGAGCCAGGTGGAGGTGGGAGCCAGAGCACTAGTAGGCAAACGGTTTCTTAGCAGGGTGTTTGGA